GCCCGCCTAGTGTTCAGTTCCCCCATACAGGCCGGTTCCTACTCGCTGGCTGAGCGGGGTGCGGGTGCAGCACTGAGGGTTGCGATCCATTGCCGGACACGAAAAAAGACAAAAAGGAAAAAAAAAAAAAAAAGGAAATTCTAGAATAGAAAAACACCTAAAATGAAAAGTTAACTTTTGTGAATTTGAAGCCACTGCAGTGAAATATAAAAACAAGGCAGAGAACTTAAAAAGGTGGCAGCAAACTTGAAAACACAGTAATAGAAACTATCCAAAATAAAAGCTGAAAGAGTAAAATGACAGAAAGAGAGAACAGAATCTCAATGACCTGTGGAACAACATTGAGTAGTCTAATGATCTAACAGACACATGTAACCAGAGTACCAGAAGAAGACAGAATGACCAAAGTGGGAAAAATATTTAAAATTGCCAAATTTCATGAAAACTGAACCAACAGAGCCAAGAATCTCAACAAACCCCACAGGACGAACAAAAATCAAACAAAAAAATGAAAGGTACATCACAATCCAATTGCTGAAAAGTAACAATAAAAGAAAATTTATAAAAGCAGTCAGAAAAAAGTCTGCATCACAAAAGGTCTAAAATTATTATCTCAGTTTCCACCTTAAGAAATTAGAAAAATAAGAGCATAGTAAACCCAAAGTAAACAGAAGGAAGTACTAAATCTAAGAGCAGAATCAATTAAATAGAAAAAACAGAAGTAGAGGAAATCAGTGAAAGCAAAAGCTGGTTCTTTAAGTAGATCAATAAAATGAATAAACCTCTAGCCAAACATGGGTACAGTCAAAAAATACACAACACAGTTGAATAACTGAAGTCCCAGATCTCCAGCCAGCTGATGAAAAGAGGCACCCTGGGGAAAAACTCAGAAAGATCACAGAGAAAAAGAACTGGGGAAAACAACTCCACAAAATTGTTTATGAGCTCCTGGGTTCACCCTCAAATGCACATAATATGGACTTGACCTTTATTAACATCACCAAAGACTCTGAAAACTGAACTAACAGACACACTGCCCAGGTACCAGATTGGCTATGGGGTGGCACATACTAGGGACAGATCCAAATAGGACTGCAAAGATTTTGCAAAATGAATTGGTATTAGAATACCCCACAGGAGGAGCTGGGACTTGCAGCTTGAACCTAACCAGATCTGCTAAAACAAAATTATAAACATTCTCTACAGTATTTAAATAAGACCCATGGTCTGATAAAATAATATTCAAACAGGAAAATCTCAACTTGTCTGGGAAAAGACAATCAATAAATGTCCATGCAGAAGTGAATTAATACTTTACATTAGCTACTATAAAAATGCTTGAGGGGGGCCGGCCCGGTGGCGCACTGCATAGTGCGCCGCTTGGGAAGCGCGGCGGTGCTCCCGTCCGAGGGTTCGGATCCCACATACAGACCGGCTCCCGCTCACTGGCTGAGCGAGGCGCGGGAGCAAC